AGTATGGAATTAGTGCTAATATCATGAAATTAGAAACCAATCCAATGCTCACAATGTGTTGCTCCTAATTAGGAAATTAGACACTTTTAGATACTATTAACACTTTTAGATACTTTTAGACACTATTAGATATAATCTAGAGCTAATACAAGGGGGTATTTTTCCAGATGATCATAGGTAGTTTCCTATTTCCATACTTTGAGGGCATTGTGTTGGTGCTTCTATATGTTACTGAGATATGAGCTTGGTGTCTTCTTACTTGATCCTTGGACTTTGCTAAATTTTAATACAGGGCCAGCAATGAGTAAAAATTCCACTCATCTATATATAAAGCCATCACTTTCCTCATCTAATAGGGGACTTTGGAAAGGAATCAACAATTTTGGAAGATACTTCTCTGAGTGCCCACTGTAAGTGATTATGAACATAGCCTACACACACTCCATATTCTACTCAAGCTCCTCTACATGTGAGAGGCACTTATCTAACTTGTGCTATGCTACAATAAGATTCAAGTATAGATGCCTAAATCTTTCTTAAGTAGTTTGATCCATAAGTATAAGTCCTTGTTCTTATTCTTGAGCAGTTTGATCTATAGGTGCAGGTCCTTGTTCTTATTCATGAGTATTTATATTCGGTGCTATATGTATTATGGTCAATACAGCCCTACAATGGGGGCCCACAATGGTAATAAGGCATACATTAGCAATACACTGGCATAAGCATGGACTCACACTCACACATATGTGTAAATGGGCATAACATGTCTATGTCAGACTACAGGAGCATAAGCAACTCTCTCTATAGACAGCTGATTAACATATAACACATTCTCAAGCTGATACAGACCATGCTTGTAGATAGCAAGACAGGTATAGTACTAAAGAAGTTCACAGTTGATATGATTTGCAACAATGTAGACATGTTCACAAATAGCCAAGTCAAGGAGTTTTTACTTATTGACTGGCTCAAAGTAGCACTTAGCATTAAGGAACAATATATGCCCAAGACTAAATATAATATACACAGAGTATTTATTCAAGTTTCATTGTAGATATAAGTAATTCAAATTTGCAGTGAGTTACTAACTAAGTTAATAAGCACCTATCCTAAGTGCTTGTCTAAATTGATACTATGATCTAAGATATTTTCTTCCAAATCTAAACCTAGATGGTTCTCTAGATGGTTCTCCTACTTGTAAATTCTCAAATTCATATTATACAGCCTAAGTGCCTTGCATATATCACAGCATTTATGCTGTAACAAGAATGCTTTGATTCCTTGCTTACTATGATCACCAACTCCACTATCTCTATAGGTATTATTCCAAAATTAGTATACTTGGCTGTATATGAAGCATGGTCAAATTACCTATTAAGAGAATATGTTATGATATTAAACAAGATATTATCCACTTTTTAATCACTAGCATCTGCAGTTGGAGAGCCTATATAAGGGATAAGCAAGGAATATACAATCAAATAGTATAAACTCACACTATAAATTTGCAATCACTAATGATTGTCAATTATAATGCTATACAAAATATATGACTGCTGCTGCTATCTACTATTTTTTGCTAGAGTGATTGAGGTACACTATTGTCCCACTATACTTGAGAACATAGGTATTCCATTATGGTTCAATGAGCTAGTAGGTATAGGCCTTTGTTAGATCAGAGTCTTTGGCAATATTGGCAAGGGTCATAAATGAGGCTGCTAAGAGTATACTGCCTTCCAATAAGACTTGTTTTTGGCAAAATAGACAATAGATAATCAAAATAGTAGGAAAGCACATTTAGCAATTAGAAACATTGATATAGCAACTAGATTAAACTAACTCTTAGATATTTCTTTACCTCTCAAGCAAGCATATTTATAGAAGTGGTCTAAGTACCACTAACCTACTATAAGACAAATGATCTTTGCATGAAGATTTTAAAGATTTTTGGATAGAGTTACTTTCATTTGAGATCCATATCCAGTCTTGAAGAATTGCTTTGTGATAGCAGCCTCTCTTAATAAGAAGCTTAAGGAGAACATTAATTTATATCTAGTATCTAATAATAAGAGTTCTTGATCACTTACTTTATAGATATTCTTTGTAGTACCAGCCTCATAGACATCATCACTAATCTTGCTAGATACTGATTGAATAGTGTTGTCCTAATAAATCTCAGCTTCTCCAGTGGCCTAAACTAACACAATGTTTGTGAATTAAAGTTATACTAATGTCATCTTGCCAAAGACAGTTGGCTAAAAAGTGCTTGGCCTAGCAAATGAGGATACAAGCATTGGAACTATAATAATTAGTTATTAAGGATATCTCAATAATAAAAAAGAAATACATACCCTATACTTTCTTTGTTAAAGTCTATTCAATAGTCAACTCCAAATTTCATTTCTGGCCCTTTTCTTTTACATACCTTGGCATTTCAAAATCTTTTTCAGTGTACTTACAAAACTAGGACTTTAGTAAGTTTGAAAATATCTTGGAAACAAAAAAAAAACTCATACTCTATATCAATCCAGAGTTCGATAGCAATAATACACTCTTTCACTCTAATAGCCAACTTTGGAAGTTTCTTAATATTATATATGTTAGTATTGATCCCTGTTATATAGATTATATGGAAATTGCCAATTGTTTTCTTATTGAATAATGGCTACGGGTTCTAATTTCTAGAAAGATAAAGAATGCGATCCTCACTGTTTATAAAGAGATTTAGCATTGTGTCAAACTATGGAGGTAATACAAATAAACATACTACTTCAAAATTACTTGTGTTTGCACTTTCCTAAGCATCTTGCCATAAATTGATCATCTTGTTAATAACATCTGTTTGATGCAACAAGGATGTTAATCACAAGAAATAAACTTAGTATAAAAAGATGGCCATATACTATCTATTATTATTTTACTTTTAAAACCATACTAAACCTTTCCTATATAAGTATTGATTGCTTTCCTAATATGAGCCTCTATAATAACTAAGATATAAGCACTATTTGCTACATGTATGGCCTTTTGATCTTGTCACATAGTATTTAGTACTACCATATTGAGGACAATAGTTGGTTGGTTTGCTATATGAGAAATTGGATTAGAGCTAGACAGTATAATAATGAATTGTTTTTTTTACCAAGGTGAGCTTAAAATACCTATGATCAGTTTTGGCAGACATAATCAATGAGTTAGTCAATGGTTTCTCAAGCCTGGATTTTATTGGTTAGTATATTGGAAGTAGTTGAGAAATATACATACTTCAGCATATATACCATAGATTCTGTCTCATCTATTCATAAACAATACCACATTTGGTGCATTGTGGAATGTTCTAAAGATTTTGTCAAAGTAAGTATGAATCAACAAAAAGAAATATAAAAGAGCAGTACTCACCTTATTTTCTTTGTGCTTAGATAAATCTCTTGCAAACACTCTTAACATCTTATATTTTTAACATCATCTAGCAGTTGATTTGGCTATAAAAAGGTAACCATACCCCTGATTGATCTACTTACCATAGTATCTGGTCATATTATTGAGAGTATCCATGATAGACAATTAAGGTTGCTTAGGTAATAGAATAAGGGGGAGAAATGACAAACAAGCAAATACTATATGTTTTTTATTGTACTGCTAAAATATGGCATTCACTTAGGCCTTGTTTATCTTAACTATGACTGCTACATAGTAGGGTAGCTGTATACTAATATAGGCTATAGCAACTTGGTTAGCTTACACCACTTGTTGTCATCTATGTCTATGTCTGCATCTATCATATTGCACATATGCTATGCTAAAACAAGGCATACAGAATAGGAGAGGTATATTGCCTTCAAGGCATGTAACCATTAACTATGGAGGGCACCACTATACTATAGTAGTTGAGTTAGGCAAGGCATAAGTACAACATGCATATAATCTAGAGACATTGCAAGCATATTTAAGTGCTTTTATAGACAAAACTATGATTATAATACACCATTTAACAATAAGCTTGAACATTTGCTAAGAGCTCATTGTTCCTTGAAGAGGCTTGAAGGTACTAGATTATTTAGTGGTATGATAATTTATACTTGCTGTTACACACTTTGGGTGATTTTCAACTAAATTCCTCTGACCTACTATAAGGTAAGTGTGGTAGATGCAAAGCCTAGTTGGGTGAGTATATTGCAGAGCTAGAGGGCCTCCTTACTCATATATGCATAAGTGAGATATTCAGTGATAGATGTAGAATCAGTTGTGATGTCCTAATACTTTAAGCTCTATAGAGTAAGCCTAGAATTAGCTCTAAGAGAGAAACCAAAACCTGAAATGAAACAGTATATACTGAGTGGTTTTGGAGTGCCACCAAAACTAGCATCACAGTAGCTAGAGATGGTGATGGGTATATCACCATCTTACAATAGTTTCCAGCCCTAAGTGCCCTTTTAGTAATATATATCATGCTTAGTCGTATGCCAGTAGTTACACCTAGGGTCCATATTGAATTGACTAAGAAAGTTTATGGCAAAGGTAATATTGGGATGGGTACCAAGAGCTAGATATATAAGAGAGCTAATAATATGTTAGAAAAAAATGGTAGCCATAAATTGAGCATATTTAGTGTTGCCAGCAAAAGGATAGTCATTGTATGACAAGTGAACATTGTAATCAAGAGGGGTAGTAATAGAATGAGTATTAGTGAGGCTAAACTAGAAAATGATAATGTCAATCAAATAAGTCTAGGATATGTAAACATGTTAGTTAGGACAATTATGATGGATATGGAGGCCAATAAGCCATTCTACTAGACCAAGTTCAATAATGTCAAAAACCTTGCAAAGGTCATCCTTGACCCACTAGATCTCAGTAGATGAAGTAACAGTGGTATTTATATCATTAACACAAATGATAACAATACATTGACTAGATGTTGATTTCTAATAATGAATGGACCATTTTGTGCTAAGATGGATACATCCAAAGTAAACTAGGGTGCTGTGTAGTTTGTGGTTCTAGATTTGCATGCTCTCTTTGAGATTATAGATCCTCTTATAGAGGAAACATATCTGATCCTTCTTACTAGGCTTAGCAAAGCCTTTCATTTGTTTTATCCAAATCTTCTCCTTAAGACCACCATGGAGAAAGGTGGTCTTGACATCTAGCTGCTCCATCTCCTAGTCAAGGGTAGTAGTAGCAAGATGAAGGGCAATGCATTGACATTTGAGGTAGGTGAAAGGAGGGTAGGTTTTAGTATAATTAAGGCCAGTGACTTAGGTGAAGCTATAAGTAACAAGGTGGACTTTATAGCAGATGGGATATCTAAAAGTGTCATATTTGAGAGTGAAAATAGGGCAACGGTAGATGATATAGCAGCTCTTGGGTACATTGGAGTAAGAATAGAGTATGTAGACCCTATGGTTGTGGATGGAATAAATTTTGTGATAGTAGGCTATAGTCCAGGCTAATATATCAGGTGAGGCAAGTACTTTATTCTAGATATGTAGGTCAGATAGCATGTTTAACAGGATAGCAAGGCAATAGCAATAGATAAAGAAAAAGGGGAAGAAGATAATAATGATAGTGTGGGAAAGATAAGACATTTGTAGAGACTAGCAGCATAGGCATTGGTGATAGCATTGTTGAGGCAAGTATAGAGGGGAATATTAAGGAAGAAAGGCCATGGCCTTGGAGAGTTGGGTAGGATGTAAGGAATAACAAGGAGCTAGGGGCAAAAATAGTAGGGGAAAAGTGACAAAAGGAAGGGGAATGACAAGAGGAGTGGAGGAGGTTATGAAAATGGAAGATGAAGAAGGTAAACAGAGAGGAGGGGTTTAGGACATGGCCCAGATGATGGGGACAACTGGTAGCATCTTGATATTTAATAAAAACTACATTATATACATCTGGAAAACCACCCTCTTGTATTAAGCTCTAATTAGCTATAATTGATGCCCTACTATACTAAATTATGAAAGATTAGGATTAGACATTTTTAGCTTACCCCCTCTAAACCTGTTCTAATTAAACATAATTTTCCTAAATTAGGAATTATTAGGATTGATTATAACTTGAAAATTTGGGAAAATCATAATAAATCAAGCATCACAGTTTTCATAGCCTTCTTATAGAGTCATATCTATTAGAGCACTAGTTAAATACCTAAACACAGAATATACCTTATAACAAAATTGCCTTTTGCCAGAATTGAACCAATAACCTCATGTATGCAAGTACCCGGGACAGATGCTCTAAGCCACTAAGCCACAAGGTCTAATATATGAACTTGGTAATCTAAATAAGTAGACATAATATAGGCAACCTCAACATCTCTAATTTTATTCAATATTTATCTTTCCTTTCTCTTATAAATAAATAGGTCAATAAATACCCAAAAAGTCAGGTCTTTTAGGATTTAGTTTAAACACTAGCTAAGAAGATAATAAACAAATGGAAAATAAATAATACACTTTATATAGGATAAAAACAAATTGTGGCACTTACATTTAGAATGTGTAAAACTATGATTGAATTTAATATTCAATGGGACTCTACTAGTATCGACAATGCTACCTTAATTTGCAAATTTGATCAAAAACATGATTATGAATAATTAGCCATAATTAGCTCAAATTAGTATCATTAATGATTATCAATAATTAAGATCCAATAAGAGAAAGCGGTTTTCCAAATGGCCACTAGTGAGATGGAGGGTGGGGACAAGGGTATATATATGGCATGCCTATGTATAAATAAGCACAAGATTGTTGGAGATGATCTTGATATGCTTGGTGCACATATTTCCTACATAGCAGGCAAATATATTATTCTGGCACCACATACCAACATGACCGTCTTTTCCACAGCCTAATAGCTAGAGGAAAACACCAAGTTTGAGCATCTTCTGTATAACAAAGCAATGGACAGTGTGAATAGCACTGAGAGTTGTAATATCAATAGTAGTGATGACTATGTGCTGCATAAGACAGTATTAACCACTGTACTAATAGACAAGGTCTGCAAGGCTGCATATAGCACATCTCTAAGCCCAACCTGCATATTGTGTCTTGTAATGACCAGTAGCAGGCATTGGCTAACAATGACAACTTTAATAATCTTGTGTGCAAGGCCAAGGTACTGAGGTCTTCATAGTCTCTTGTGGCAGCTGCTAAGCTGCCAACAAAGTGGCTGGGGCATCAATGCATATTTCTCTCTTTCTATGTCCCTTGTAAAGGCAGCTAGAAAGTCAGCAAAAGAGCTACAAGATAATGGTGCAAGCATATATGAAAAAGAGTAATATGCTAAAATAGTATAGAATGTGCAATATAACCACTACATTAGCATATTAATTAATTTACATCCTCACCAGTGTCATATAACTAGTAATTATCACCTTTTGCTTTAGCATTCATTTTGCTATCAAGTTATTCTTCTGACATTTAGGGCCTGTAGTGACTTTGTAAATTCATTGTACTGTGTATTATTATTCAACCTTCAAGTCTTTGATCTAGAGCCCCAAGTGTAACTCAGTAATGTTACACACTCATATTACTGATGATCTAAATCTCATATATAGCTAGTCTTCTATGGCTAATACTAATAAATCTTCTAAATAGTAAGTATTTGTATATGTTTTGTGCTAGCTACTAATAGAAAGGACTTGGGTTGCTCAAGGAATAAGGTTCAAAATATTGCTTTATTACATTATTTATTTGTTGTATGTTTTCTGATATGTTTTTTATTATTTTCTCATAGTAATAGACTCTTGTCCTTAACATGGTAGTGTGTAAGAGCCTAGAAAATGAGATGGCATAGAGACAGGAGCAGCTAGTAGATAGGCTAGCAAGAATACAAAGGACATAGAAAATCAAGAGCCATAAGAGTAATAAGTAAGAAAATGAGAGTAAGAAGGAGAATAATAATGAAGAGGGTCCAATATAGTAGAAGTAGAAGACAAGAGAAATAAAGGGATTCCACTAATATGTGCATAGTTAGTAGAATAGTAAATGATAGCATAAACTATATATAGCCTATAACCTGTTAGAATCTATAAATTCATCTAGGAAACCCTTACCTCTTATTACTTCATAATAATAAATAATTATTAATAATGTGAATTTGTACTAATTATAATGTATTATGTTTAATTATCTTGACTATAATTATGATTAAATTTACAAATAAAGGTAATACTGTCCATATTACTAGAGTCTTATAAGAAAGTACTAACCTTATTATTATCCTACATATCCAGATTCTCAACTAGGTAAGTACTACAAATATTTTACCCAATATAAAGTGTATTCTCTATTTGTTATTAGTTTTCTAGTAGAATTTGGCATTTAAGCTTATATTCTGAAAGCCATATTTTTAGATATTTATCAATTCCTTTATAAATAAAAGAAATAAGAAATAAATATGTAATAGAATTAGATATGTTAAGACTGTCTATATAATTGAATTACCAAGCTATATAAGTTAGACCTTGTAGATAAGTGGTTTAGAGTATTTTCCTAGAATGCTTGTAGGCATAAGGTTATAGGTTCAACTCCATAATAAGGAAGATTTGTTGTAAAGTACAATTTTAAGTTTAGATGACTAACTAATGACTTTTATAGCTAGACTCTGTTCAAAAGTTGTAAATGACCCTAGCAAGTGATCATAATGCTTGGTTGAACCTTAGTTTTTGGAAATTTTATATGAAAATTATGCATAATTAAAGCTAATTAGCCTTTATAAGCTATGATTAATAGAATGGGAAAGCTAAAAATGCATAATGATAATTAGTAACAATTTTATATAATTAAAGAGGATTTGAGCATATTTAGAAAAGTGTTTTTTCTAGATGCCTTATAGGCATGTATTTAAATATGACATAGAGAGAGCTAGTGAAAAGATAAGGTTCAGTTGGCTTGAACTATTATTATATATGCCTAATCTAACAACTATGTTGATAAGCACATCGTCTTTCTAAATACTAAGGCCCTTATTTTTGCAGCTTTACAAACACTAATACATTGATCTAAAAAGTACCCTAGACACTATTAAAAGTTTCCACAACCTAATATAATTTTCTCTGACATACCTTACAAGCTCAATATATATAGCATTAGACTCATACAGGACTTATCATACATCTTAGTTATTCTCTTATATTATCTCATACACTTTTTACACATATCACATGTTGATCTTGAGCCTACCACCTCTTTTATGGCATCACCAAGCACAAGCCATGTGCACCCAAGAGTCAACAATATAGGTAGAGCCATAAGCATCTCTACAATACAATAGCACAGCAAGCTTTATTACACATGCCTATTAGGCAGAACAGGTCTTGTGATCATTATCTCCTCCTTCTACTTAGTGTTTGCATTGTCTCTCTACTATACCCTTTACTAAATATCTCTTTGTATCTTGAGCACAGTGTAATAGGACCTCATAGTCTATAAGTACCCTTGTATATGATTTCTTATTTATTAATATCATAGTCTTGGTATAATATTAATTTTTATCAGGGAAAAGCTTTACATCAAATTAACCATAGTTAAGCATAAATATAGCTAAATTTATGCTAATTACTATTCAGGATTTTTAGCTTACCCCTTTTCTAATCCTGAAATTATAAGGTCTAATTAGAGCTAATTAAAGCTAATTGATTATATGGGTTTTCGGAAAAATAGCAACCAACCAAGTCCTATAATTCCTCTATTATTACTACATCTTCAATCATAGAGTATTTATAGAGCTCACTAATCAAACTAAAGTCATACCTTATAATAAACTTGCCTATCACTAGAGTTGAACCAATAACCTTATGCCTGCATACCTCAGACTACTGCTCTAAACCACTAAGCTATAAGATCCAAATTATTTACCTAGTAACCTAAATATGATAATATAAATAAGGCAATCTCAATATTTCTAACTTTATTACATATTTATCTTTAATCTATTCTATATATAAAGGGGTCAATAGATACTCTAAAAATCAGGGCTTTTGATATTTGAATATAGGTACCAGACAATAATATAGTAAACCAATAGAAAATAAATAATATACTAAAAATAAAATTGTAGTTATCACAATATTTGGATTTGGGATATGTAAAATTGTAATTAGGTTGTAGATTTTAATGGGACTATATTAGTAAAGACAATATCCCCTTACTTGCAAATTTGACTATAAAGTTGATTATGAATAATATATTCTAATTAGCTTAGATTAACATTTTGAATAATTAAATCTAATTAAGAGAGGAGGTTTTTCCAGATGTTATCTTACCTCATATTCTTATTTACTAGAAATACCAACTTATGATACTACAATACACCAGTTTCAAACATCCCTCTGTTTAGAGCTTACTTTAAATGAAGATCTTGCTTATATTGTATCATATCAACCTCAAACTCAGCTCACTCAACTTAGTTCTCATCTCTTTTGTTATTATTTTTGTTAGGGCCTTTGTTGCTGCTCTTAAAAATCTTGATTGCTCATATTGACATTGCTTCTGCCATATATGAGGAATAATCTTATGCTATCTTGTGTCTTTACACATCATCATGGCAATTCCCGCCTACATCTTGAACAAATCTCATATTACCTCAGTTAATCTCTTAGCACCTTGTTATATGTATTTCATATTCTATCTCACAACCTGCAAGGGTCCTTCAATATTTAAGTCAAGTCAGCTCTTTGCCTACTCTGTATTTAGTGGCATGTTTTGTTATGAATTTTCACATATAGAGCCATTACAAGTACATCAACCTCATTAGTAACAATCTAGTAACTTATAGCACATTGCCCAATCTTAACAAATACTATGCTGGAACCAGAGTTAAATGGTAGACTAAGTTAAACAATTAATTTAACTACCTCCCTATCATTACAGTAGCTCTATAAATATTCTTGTATGTTTTTATGTATGTATAGATTAGCTATATCTTTTTTTAGATCTCTAAAGCAAGTGTGTAGGGTAGAAGAGAGAAATTATGTACAATATTAACTTTCTACTACAATAATGAGCCCAAATCCAACTAATCTCACATTCTGAACCTTGTGTAAAAACAAGACTAGGTAATATATGTAAATAAATATTCTGTGAAAAAAATCTGAGAGTGATCAATAGGGAGTACATGCTTAAAATAAAATCTCAGCACAAGAGTATAGGTAGAGTGACTTTGGTGTCAGAGAGATGACTTTTTGTAAAGCTCTGACATGCTCTGATGGTTACAGGGGTCCTGAGCTACAAGCCATCAGACTTCTAATTAGCAAGTGTGACTCAGTGTGACTGAAGGCTCGGATAAATTGTTCAACTCTGGGCCCAATACCGTTTTTTGAGTCTCTCTCCTTGGCCACTGCCTAAGGCTTTTTCCTTGCCTTTAATAATTACAAAAAAACATCATAATGAAATTGATATATTTGGTCAGGTATTTACAGTGATTTGATAGCAGTTAGTGAGTGTACAGGACCTAGGCCGCCAGAATAGCTAAACATTGTTCAATTGGTCCCAGCATAGTAGTGGGACTAGGCAATGCCTGGAGGGCCGTGTGTAAGAACCATCACGTGACTGTGACTAGACGCGTTATTTTGACCTGTATGTCGATAGCTGTTGAAAGGGTCTCCTGAAGATTCTACCACCAACGAACATGAGTTCCGAAGACAGGTTCCTGCCAGGTATACAAGTTCTTCTTCGTTCGCAGTTTGAGTCTGATGTCCGTTTAGTACGCATCTGGTATACAATCAACGGTTCCTCGCAATACATTCTCGCACGCCCACCAGAACAATTTCCTGTCCAATTCCTCGCGCGTTTCCCTGATGAGAACCAACAACACGATCATCTTTATGCCACGACACTGCTGACCACCTGTGCTCGAGCCATTCATTCCTGCAGGTACTTTCATTCTGTCCTCGGCTACATCTATCTTCCGTTTCTAACGCGACCTTCATTACATGTTCAGCCCTGAGTTGATGCACAACGATTCCCAGGACTTTTCTCTTTACGTCCTTGACCCTTTCGAAGGTCAAGCCGCTCCGCACGCTACAGTCCTTCCGTGTCACAACTCGAACACAATACATGGCTACGCTACCACACCTCACTCTCCCGGAGTCGCAGTTGCAATGGGACTTATGTCATGGGCGTTATCATCCACAGAAAACTCTTCTTCTGTGACAGGGACATTGGTTAAATCACCGACGGGCGAAATCGCACTGGAGGTTATATTTGCGCTCAGAGAAGTATGTTCTATTTTCTGAGCCCAGAACGTCCTAAGTTCATCTATTCTATCAGACCTCTCGCAATCAACATCCATCTATACAACATAGTAATCATCCTTGCTACGGTTTAGGTGCCATCTCAGGTGTGCTTCATTCAATGTCATGTTGGCGATGTCTTCGTTGCGTTTACACATCTCATAGCCCAACCCAGCTGTTTTTCACATTACGTCTCCACCCCCGCCTCTTCTCAACCTCACACACGCCAATTTGCAAGGTCGACAGACTTTCCCTTGCCTTATGTCGGTCCCCCAAAACGTTTGCGCAGATCTCACCATTCTCGTACCAGTGTGCAGGAAGGGCCATTCATCAAAGCACCCTTAGACAGGACTAATACGCTCAGGCAAGGACACCGCAAAGCTTCCTCGAGTAATGACCACTCCTCCCTCGAGAACCAGTCTTCCTCTTCCAGCTCTACCCAAGCGCTTCTGCCTGGACCATCTTCAACCAGCCCCAGTGATATAGATCTGCGCATGACGCTTACCAACCTACTTTCCCTTTGCAACGGCAATGCGTCCCATGCCTCTGAATCTTCCATATCGACCATAATTTCTACGTCCATTTCTGCCAACTCCAACTTCACCACGATTTCGGACCTCGTGAACCTTCTTTCACAGAATTTGCCTCCACAAAGCGCCAACCTTACTCCGGTCGATGGTGCGTCCGCAATCGTCTCTGCACCTGTACATCTTTCAAAACGGCCATCAACAACTATCATCTCCGATGACGATGACGATATCGTAGTCCTCGAGAAAGAGAACGTTGATCCAAGTGCTTTCCGTAGGCGCAACAATGTAGCCCAATCTAATGAACTCGCATCCTCGCCCGACATTACACTATATGATATGCAGAGGCGCCCTCTCATGCCGTCGACCCCCAGAAAGCAACTCGAGCGCAAACGAACCTTGAGCGATGTCATAGACAGAGGGGCCAATGCGCAACAACGGAAGCGGAGAAAGGTCACTAAGCGGCATAACAGTTCGCCTGCACATGCCCACGTCGAACGGTCCGGTTTTGGTGCAACAAGTCGAGGGACTCTCAAAGTCGAGGGTGGTTCTAGAGCTGTCGGCGGTGTGTCGGAGGCATACCTGCAGCGAGTCCCCTTCTCCGATCCAGGTGTAATGTCTATCGGTCACTCGAAAGACATCAGTAATCCTTTGGCTCGATCCCGCACCAGAGACTCCCGGGTGCTAGCGCAAAGGATTCGCGGATCAAATGAGCTTGGGCGTGCAACTGCGGGGGTGAACGCAGATCTCCTAGCTGCTCGCACAGCGCTCGTAGCATCATCTTCCAGTCCTATATTGAAAACTAACCCCAGAGTACCAGCCCTTCCGTCCACACCTGCATCAAGGTCGGCAACATCTGCGTGGAAGCTCAAGAAAGTTCCAGACTGGGCAAAAACAAACACAGCGACTCAACCACGCATCTCCGAGGAGACTCTTAGAAAGCGCGCGCAAGAACAAGCTGTCGACGCAACGAGGCGTGCAATCAAAGGGCGTAAAGGAGCCAAAACCTCTCTTCTAGCGGAGAATCACGTCCGCGCTAGTGTAAAACCCAGTCTGGAAGACGGAGCACGGCTGCCTGGGCGTCGAAAAGCATCTCCATCACCGGCCCGTCGTGCTCGAGCCACAAGTACAGATATACCCTTTGGTCCCATCACAGCGTGCTCGACGATCGATGTCTTTCCCGTTCATAACATCGCGACCAGCGCCTTGCCCAGGACACCCACTCGCAAAACAAAGACCCAGCACTCGTCGGCGCTCGACGTCACAGAGCCAACATCGAACAGTCCATTGTTCTCTCCAGAGAGTGCTCTTGATACCCCATCAAATATATCGCCTATCCAGGCTGTTCTCGCTGGCAAAGGAATCGACATAGAGCCAAGGGTCATGTCACCCGCCGACGATGAGGACGAAGAGGACGATGACGGCGACGACAACGATCATATCAATTTTGACGAAGCACCCTCGAGCTGCTTACCAGTTGCCAGCAGCGATATTGAAGACGAGCACCCTCAAAGAGCTGCTCTCGACGATTGGCCGCTTGCCCTTCCACCATCTTCTCCACTCCCGCCTTCTAGTCCCATTCTTTCGCCTGTAGATTATATAGCGGCCAATACCCCATACGATGAAGCTCCCCCCATTCCACCGAGCTGGGATGACGGAGGCGAGGAACACAAGATGCCTGTTGCAAGCAACGACGAAATGCTCGCCTTCTTCCAGCTCCTCAATGCGGCCGCCAACATGCCAACCAGAGACCCTATCCCGGCCTTAACATCGTCGTCCGCCGCCTCACCGTCATCCGACGGCCTCTTCTCCGTCTCACAATCGAGTACCCAACCAAGCGATCTGGACGACATGGATTTCAAGGCGATCGGCGACTCGCATTGGTCAGTAGAAGATGAAGTATCGCTTTTGGGACTGTTGCACGATGTCGAGAACTTTACTTGAAGACTGGGCGATAGTTATTCATGTATCTTATTTTATACAGCATTTGTTACTGTTTTCATATCCCGTTTTGTTTAATTTACTGGAATAAAGAGTCGTCGCTCGTTCTCACAAATGAATAAAAATATAACGCCATAGCAAAAAATCAATCTACCCGTTTCGCAGCGTCTATGAACCTCTTAATCTTCTCGATATCCTTGCCGCCACCCACCAGCTCAACGCCGCCACTGACATCCACAGCCCACGGCCCGACCGTCTGGACCGCCTGGGCCACATTCTCCGGGGTCAGTCCGCCCGCCAAGATGATGGGGAGAGGTGCCGTCACTGAAGACGACGCCGAGGCATCTGGCCCAGCCTCTCCCCCCTCGACGATCTTTTGCGCCAGCCTCCAATCCAGCTTCCGCCCCGTACCGCCACTCACGCCCCCCAGCGTCGAAGCAGCGTCCAAGAGCACGTACTCGTGCAGCCCCGGCCTCGTGATCCCCGCCAAGCCCTTTCCCTCGCTGTCGACGTGGAACACGCGAATGACGGGCACCGGTATCTGCTTGCTCCATTCCAGCGGCTCTGAGCCGTGCAGCTGCACAATGTCCAGCTGCGCGACCGCGATGCAGTGCAGTATGAAAGTCAAGGGCTGGTTTTGGAAGACCCCGACGAGGAAGGGGCGCGTGGGCGACCTGAACAACCTATGCGCGTGTGTCGTGAACCACGGCTCGTTTGTGAAGCTATCTGCCCCAAGAGGCGCTCCAGAAGACGGCTGTGATATCCGCAGCTGCCGAATGCCGATCGAGATTTTCTGCGCCTGCTCGAGGTCAACATGCCGCTTGCTCGTGGGCACGAACATCAGCCCAAGCATGTCTGCGCCCGCCCCCGCGGCCCCCAACGCCTCTTCTTCCGTCCTGATTCCGCATATTTTGACCAGCGGCGCACGCTGGGGCTCGATCTCGTGTTCGCCCTTCCAGTCCAACAAGTCCCGGATGAATGCTTCGGTGTCGTTCGCGCGCATGAGCGCTTCCCCGACCAATACGGCCCCCACGCCTTGCCCCACATACGTTTGAACGTCGCTCTTGCTCTGAATGCCGCTCAACGCACAAAGAATCACGTCGCGCTCCTTGACCATGTCGGCCAGACGAGAGGTGGTCCCCATATCGACCTGGAAGTCATGGAGATTGCGATTGTTCACGCCGATGACCCTGGCTCCGAGGGCGAGCGCGGCCTCCATTTCCTGTGCATTGTTGACCTCGACGAGCGGCTCCATGCCCAGAGACATGGAATAGCCGTACAGCGCCTTTAGACGAGCAATGGGCAGCATGGCGACGATGAGCAGGACGGTATCGGCACCGTGCAGCCGGGCCTCGGCGATCTGGTACTCGTCGAGGATGAAGTCTTTCCGCAGCACAGCAGGTCGGTTCGGGAGCGAATCGATGGCTTGCCGCGCGAGGCGCATGTCCAGCAGAGAGCCCTTGAACCAGGTTGGCTCGGTGAGGACAGAGATGACCGATGCCCCCGATAGAGCATAAGTGAGGGCCTGCTGCGCCGCGTTGGCGTTGAGGGCGATAGGTCCCTTGGATGGGCTGGCACGCTTGATCTCGGCCATAAGAGCAGGAGTCCTAGCTTTGAGTCGGTCAACTAGAGATATGAGAGGCGGCGAAAGATGCATAGAGAGGAAGATGTCGAGATCTCCCGACGTTGTCCCAGCAGTCGCCTTGGCGGCCTCGACGTCCTTGAGACGCTGCGCGTATATCTTTTCCAACACACTGGGAATTTTGGCCGCGGTCACCGAAAGCTTCCCGTTGGGCGCCTGTATGGGGAACGGAGGGAGAGATTGGTCGAGAACACCGGAGGACGGGTTCTCCTCCCAGAGACCGCCCCGGAGAGCAAGGAAATTGCGGAAGAGGTCATCGCCGCCTTCGGAAAGGATGCTCTCGGGATGGTATTGCACGGCCTCGAGGGTGCATTTGCGATGCCGGACGCCCATGATCACGCCGCTCTCCTCTGTGGTCGCAGTGATGGCGAGATCATCAGGCATGGTCTTGATGTCGGCGCTCAGGGAGTGGTACCGCGTGGACTTGATTCCCTGCGCGACACCTTTGAAACAGCCGCGGGCGTCATGGCGAATGCGGCTCAGCTTGCCGTGCATGATTTCTCCAGCATAGCTGCGTATCGATTCATCAGCATCTCCCAGAGGAAGAAGAGGGGGATGCGGGAGCCACGAACAACGCACCCGATCTCCCCACCAAAAACGTCGACCAGACACTCCAAACCCATGCACACGCCCAGCACCGGGACCTTCCCAGTGAAAAACTGAATCGCGTCCCTCGATATTCCCGAGTCTGTGATAGGGTGTCCAGGCCCGGGCGAGATGATGAGGGAATTGATTTGGAGCTGGGGGAAGGAAGAGACAGGGATGGCATCGTTGCGAACGACGGTCACGTCCGCACCCAGGAGAGTCAGATGCTGGTAGAGATTCCAAGTGAAGGAGTCAAAGTTGTCGATCATGAGCACGTCGATGGGACGGGCGAGATGGGGTGGGAGGGCCATTGTCGCGATGGTTGAGGGCGTGGGAGTGGTTCGGAGGATGTGGTGGGTGGATGGAGGTGAGGTATACTTATAGCATGTGAGCGCGAGAGTCGGACGTGAAACGAAGAGTACACACCTCAATTGATCAATGGCAGGACGGCTGAAATTTGTGATGCTTCACAGAACACCGGCAAATCTCCGCAGACACACAGCGTCGAGTTCCGGGATCAGTGAGAGACGGCGATGATTCTTGCGGCAGCGTCGCAGACTGCAGCAAACGATCTCAGTCGCGACGAGCAGCAGGTCGACTGACAAGAGTCGGCGGGAGTCATGGACGCGGTAAAGCAGCGCTTAGTCACACAGCTCTCCTACGAGCATAATTAAATAGGTGGTATCGTGGACGGATGAACGCTTTTTATTCTCCTCCATCCCGCTCCCTCTCCTGTTTCCTCCTCGCCTTCTCTTTCCGCCTTTCCTCTTTGGCCCTTTTCCTCATCGACTTCTCGTCCTCGCCCTCCACTCCTCCTTCCGCCTGCACCGAATCGGTCGCTGGCGCCTCCTCAACTTTCGTATGGTCGGCATCCTGTGCGGCCGAAAACACGGCCCCAAACTTCGATGACGCCTCAATCCCCGCCTGTGCGCTCCCCCGCTCATCAAACACCGCGCTCCTTGATCTTGATGCACCCAGCCCCATCCGCGGCGCGTCGTCCTCCTCGTCCCGCGTCTCCTCTTTCACGACGGGCGTCGCGCTCCCAGATCCGCGCGCCCTCGCCGCCAGCTTCGCCTTGAAGTAGTCCGCGACGGACTGCGTCGCCGTCGTCAGCTTTTGGAGATCGGCCGCCGCGTCGGCGGGCGTCGCGGGCGCGGAGGGCGTGAGCGTGGAGAGCGGCGAGGGCGCAGCGGGCGTGGCGGGGATGGAGGAGGAGGGGATGCCAAGGATCTCGGAGAGCGCGGCGGGCGTGCGCGAGGCGAGACGTTTCGCAGCAATGATGCGCGCGCGGTGCGTGCGAGGGCTATTGCGATACACAAAACATATATCAGCGCCCCGATCTATAGAGCGTGGGTCGGAGAACGTACGGTGCTCGGACGGGCGTCGGCGCAACGATGGGAACGGCGGGGGCGGCCGATGCGGCGTTATCAGACGTCAACCCGCCGTCTTCTTCCTTTTCGCCCTTCCTCGCCTTTTTACTGCTCTTTTTTTCGGACCCGCTCTCGTCCTTCGACTTTTTCCGCTTCTTCTTCGACTCCTGCCCCTCCCCCTCCTCCGCCTTGCGCTTCTTCTCGCCCTTGCGCTCCTTCTTCCGCCTCTTCCTCTCCTCCTCCTCCGCCTCCTCTGCCTCCGGCCCCGTCTCCTCCCGATCCTCCTCTGTCGCCCTCTTGAACATCCCCTTCATCTCCCCCTTGATCCCATCCTCCTCCGTCGCCCCCTCCGCCGCACCGTTCAGCCTCTTCAACAGATTCTCGAAGTCGCGGTTCTGCTGCCACGCCAAGCCATTCGCGTCCCGCTGGTGCTGCATCCCGATGCCCAGCATGTCGAGCTTCTGGTCCACAGAGATCGCGCGCGTGCGCCCCTCCCCGGACGCCCCGAGTCCCTTCGACGGGTCCCAGCCCATCTTCGCGAGGTACGCCTGCCCGAACTTGGCCGCATCTGCGCGGCGGCATCAGACAGGCAGGACACAGACCATCAGACACGCGACTCACCGTCCGCCCAGGAAAGATTGCGCGGGTCGTTCGGGATGCGCTGCTTGACTTTTCGGCCTGAGAGACCCATTTTTTAGAGCTGGCTATCCGGGAGAGGGCCGATGCGCGAAGCTTGCGGCGGGCACGAAACCATGCAGAATGGAGCCTCTCCTGATTGGGGATACAATTCCCACGATAAATTGTTTTCTCCGCGGGAAGTCTCGACCGTGAATGTACAATGCATGTCGGTGCCAAAGGCTCTATGTACCGAAGTGTGGTAGAATTAGTGATACAATGTAGTCTAGTGCTAGTGTCCGAACAGGATCGCGCGCGATGCCAACGTGTCCTAGTCATCTGCCTCATCCGCGAGGCTCAGTCGCTCATGGCAAAGACGCGCGACTTCCCGCCCATCGATGGGGATCTCGTTGCCCTGGAACCCCTCTGGGTACGCCACGGGCGGCGTGTCGGGGCTGGTGAAAATGCTGCGGGCGAAACGGCGTCAGGTCCACGGTCGCGCCGACCAACAACGCCCTGCGTACCTGCTGCCCCAGAATCCGTAGTGAACCATCCCGAGCGCGCGCGTCGTGTACTCGTAGTCGTGCGCGAAACCGCCGGGGTAGAAGAATTCCATAACAGTAGACCTCGGCGACGGCTTCATCCACAGCAGGGACGTGAGACCGTTCCCGTGCACGCCCATCATGATCTACGCCAGACGCGTGAGATGCGAATCGGCACAAAGCGTCGAAGAGAGAACACCCACCGTAGTCCGTCCGGCCAGCTGCAGCTGCTCGACCCTCGACATTTGGTCCATGCTGACAACGTTGACCTCGTAGCCGTACTGATCCTGCAGCTTGTACAGCTCCTCCACGAGCACGTCGTCGTCGCTCTGGATCAGCTTTCTTCGCGGCCAGTTCTGCCGCGAGATGTACGTGATCACCGGCTTGCCGCGCGTCCCCGCACCGACGCTCGCATTGAGGCCCGACGCCTCGATGACGCTGTTGCGCACGGTGCTCCACCAGTGCGCGCTGGCGGGCAGCACGAACGCCTCGCTCGCCGTCCGCTGCGTCTTCCCAAAGTTGTCGCCGTTGATCGCCGCTGCGCGGTCCGCGAAGAGCACACGGTCGAACACGAACGGCGTGCCCATCGCCGCGCGGTCCGCCCAGTCCGCGGAGAACTCCATCGATGCGGCAGGGAACGTTGTGCGCAGGACGTACTGGTTCATCGAGGCATAGTCGCGCCAGTGCTCGGCGTCGAGGTGGGTGAAGAGCATCCGGCGCGGGGGTGGAAGGGCGGTGCGGCCGGTCTCGGGGATGAGGGGGTCGAGAGCGGAGTACGCGCGCCAGAAGCCGAAGAACAGCTCGGCGGACCAATGGTAGTAGTGGGTGATGCTGGGATCCGGTCAGCGAGAAAGAAGGTGTGATGAAAGGGGTGGTGCGCACAATTGCCGCGGGTCGTTTGCCAACCACTGGCGCAGCGCAGTTCGGTCAACCAATGTTTGTTCGAGCGAAAGCCAATGCTCACCGTTAACCCCTCGACTCGATTCGCACCTGTGCCAAAGAGCTTTTTCGCCTCCTCCGGGGAGATAATGCGCATGTCTCTGTCGGTCGGGAGGCGCGCCTGTACTTCCTCGCGGGAGTTGCCAATATCGACACCAGTGGAGGTGATGAACTTGCGGTCGGGCACAATGTCGGGTTGGTCGGTGACGATGTAGACCGTCCCGTTGAGCACGTACATCTTGTCAAGCAGTGTCCATCCTGCGCGTGGGCGTCCGCACCGCTAGGTAAGACCCTGTCAAGCACGCTGCGCACGAAAGTGAACCCACCGGGGACATGTGAGATGATTTTCGTTTGTGGGACAGAGCCCGAGTTCCATGAGAGCCGCGCGTTGGATGGAACGGAAGGGATGGACTTCTCGGAAAACGTGGACACCAGGTCGTCTGCTACCTCGGAGAGCGACGCATAGGGGTCGCCGGAGCCATTATTTTTGAAGAAGAAGAGGAGAAAGGCAAGCAGAAGGGCGACGAGGAGAAATTCACGGTGTGTGGGAGCGTTCGAGCCCATCTACCACTGTCGGCGTCGTCGGTTCGCTGCAGCCTTTCATTTCCAAGTTGCACGCTGGTAATGGCTCGTGACGTGACAGTCGTGACACGACATCACTTGATGTAGTTGCGCGACACGACAACGGTAGGAGGCTAGGTGCGATACAAGATGGGGGTATAATAGCCGTCCGCAGTTTACACGTCCGTCGACGTCGCGTACCCCGACGTCGTCTCTGGTCTGTACACCCCGCTCTCGCCCAGCCAAACTTTCAGCCGTCCATTCCCGTTGACGCCCTCCTTCAGCGAGCCCACCTTCTCCGGCGTCTCGCAATGCTTCTTCAGCACCTCGAGCACCTGTGGAATGACGTCGACGTGCACGTTGTCACCCCACAAGATGTCCAGATGTTCATATCCGCGCAGTTGCCTCACGTCGACCCCGTTGCGCGGCAGCTCTCCGCACATCTTGTCGATGTCCACGAGGCTATCCTGATCGCCATACATGAGCACGATGGGCGTCGCGATGTTCCTCGTGGGGAACTTCGCAGGCCGGTAGCCGGTGATGGAGGCTTTCGCCCTGAACGCGGGCGCGTACACGTCGTCATCGTACATGAGGAAGCGCGCGTTGCGCATGATCTGGAACCAGTGCACGACGGACTTGGTGGACGCGAACGAGTACAGGTGCGCGTACGCGGCGAGCTTCTGAGTCGAGGTGATGTTCAGCGAGCGCCAGTTGAAGAGGAACGTGAGAGACGCGTCGATTAGGCGGGAGAAGATGGGCGGATACAGGATGCTCTGCCACATGACCGCTGAGGAGAGAATCGCTTTGCGGCCGAAAATAAGGAAAAGAAGGGCCGGGCTGTGCACTCGTAAATGATCAAATGTACAATGGGATAAAGGACGGGACGGACGATGCTTTCATCAGGCCGTCCACGAGAGGGGCGGCCAGGCCAGCAGGGCTCATGGCAGGAGCGAGGGCAATGAAGACGTTGATCTTGTTGTTGAGTTGCGGGTGGATGCTGAGCGCGCCGAAGGCTTGTGCGCTGCCCTGGCTGAAGCCGACATAGCTGAGGCTACGGGCGCGGGTGGTCTGAAGGATGTACTCGATGGAGTCGGGGATGTCGTGCCAGGCAAAGTCGTCGATGCTGAAGTCCCAGAACTTATTGGAGTTGGGGTTGTGGTGAATGGACTTCTTTGAATACTTGTTGCCGCGGTTGTTGCCGAGCCAGACGTCGAAACCCTGCTCGACGAGGACGAAGGGGAGGACGCGGTCCTCGGAGGTCAAGCAGAGCCAGACCTCGCTGTTCATGAGGAGACCATGATGGAGGTAGACGACGGGCTTTCCGGTGGACGTGCCGGGTGGAGGGCCTGGCTCGCCTCTCTTCGCGGGAAGGCGATGGATGCCGAGGAGGTAGCCATCGGTCGTGAGGACGAGGTGCTCCTCGTGGACATAGCCAAACAGCTTGCAGAGCTCCTCAAAGTCCTCGGCCTTACGGACATGGTCTGCGAAGCGGCGGGTGTCTGAGCGGGGGGCGGGCGCGCCGACGAAGCGGTGGAAGAGGAAGCGGGAGCGGTTGTAGAACCAGCGGATGACGGGCTTTGGGAGGAAGAAGATGATAACATGGAGGACGCCCTCGAGGGTGACGAGCAGGAAGCCGAAGAGAGTGGCGACGTATTCGTGGGACGTCAGGCGACCGACGAGGGGGACGCGGGGCATGGTCGATCGTCTCCAGTCGGCGGTGGCGGACGAGTCGGCGGTGGAGACGGCGGTATGTGCACGTGTTTCGCCTTCACCTCTCTCGACCGCGACCATCTCGAAGTACTGCATCTGGCAGCCTCGGTCCTCGCACTGCCCTCCACGCTCGCTTCTTTCCTACCTTCACAGGAGCAGCACTTTTCTCAAGGTCGAGTTCGAAGGTGTGCACTGTGTTTGTCGACCACACAGCTAGAGTGCGCATCTAGGACAGGTGTTGACCCTACTAGGATACTTGACCATGTGGCTGGCCGCAGCAAACACTCATATACTCTCCAAGCCCTCCAAGCCCTCCAATCAGGAGGGGGGTAATATATAATCATATGAGGTATGAGAAGAAATTGTAATCCTTGTGATTCTTGTGGTCCTCGCAAGCCTTGAAAGAAATATATACTCATTTCAAATCGGTAAAAAAATATTGCCATGTAACACTTCATCTGGAAAACCACCCCTTTGTATTAAGCTCTAATTAGTTCTATTTATGCATAATTAAGAACAATTAGGATTAGACATTTTTAGCTTACCCCCCCTCTAAACCTGTTCTAATTAGACATAATTTTCCTAAATTAGAAATTATTAGGATTGATTATAACTTGAAATTTCGGAAAAATCATAATAAATCAAACATCACAGTTCTCATAGCCTTCTTATAGAGTCATGTCTATTAGAGCACTAATTCAATACCTAAACACAGAATATACCTTATAACAAACTTGCCTTCTGCCAGAGTTAAACCAACAACCTTATATATGCAAGCACCCAGGACAGACACTCTAAGCCACTAAGCCACAAGGTCTAAAATATGAACTTGGTAATCTAAATAAGTAGATATAATATATGCAACCTCAACATCTCTAATTTTATTTAACATTTATCTTTCCTCTATCTTATAAATAAATAGGTCAATAACTACCTAAAAAGTCAGGTCTTTTAGGATTTAGTTTAAACACCAGCTAAGAAGATAATAAACCAATGGAAAATCGATAATACACTTTATATAGGATAAAAATAAATTATGGCACTAATACAATTTGGACTGTGAATGTGTAAAACTATGATTGAGTGTAATATTCAATGGGACTCTACTAGTATAGACAATGCTACCTTAATTTGCAAATTTGATTAAAAACACAATTATAAATAATTAAGATCTAATAAGAGAGAGGGGTTTTCCAAATAGCCACTAGTGAGGTAGAGGGTGGGGACAAAAGTCTATGTATGGCATGCCTATATATAAATAAGCACAAGATTGTTGGAGGTGATCTTAATATGCTTGATGCATATATTTCCTATATGGCAGGCAAATATATCATTCTGGCACCACATACTAATATGACTGTCTTTTCCACAGCCTAATAGCTAGAGGAAAACACCAAGTTTGAGCATCTTCTGTATAACAAGGCAATAAACAATATAAATAGTGCTAAAAATTGTAATATCAATAGTGATGATGATTGTCTGCTGCACAAGACAGTATTAACCACTATACTAATAGACAAGGTCTATAAGGCTGCATATAGCATATCCCTAAGTCCAACCCACATGTTGTGTCCTATAATGACTAGTAGCAGGCATTGGCTAACAATGACAACTTTAATGATCTTGTGTGCAAGGACAAGGTACCTAGGTCTTCATAGCCTCTTGTGGCAGCTGCCAAGCTGGCAACAAAGTGGCTGGGGGCATCAATGCACATTTCTCTCTTTCTATATCCCTTGTAAAGGCAGCTGGAAAGTTAGCAAAAGAGCTACAAGATAATAGTATAGGCATATATGAAGGAGAGTAATGTGCTAAAATAGTATAGAATGTGCCACATCTTTACCTTCTCACTGATAGAGCAGTAGTACTTACTATTTCCTACTGCTAATTAAAGACTTCTTGGTATAAAATTAGTGCTAATATTATGAAATTAGAATCCAATCCAATGCTTATAATGTGTTGCTCCCAATTAGGAAATTAGACACTTTTAGATACTATTAACACTTTTAGATACTTTTAGACACTATTAGATATAATCCGGAGCTAATACAAGGGGGTGGTTTTCCAGATGCTTGAAACTATTGTCATGGTACACTTCTGGCCCATACCAACACTTATCCAATCTTTCTTAAGAGAGCAATCAGGCACAGCAAATGCCTACATATATGATATCTTGTCAAAGGACTCATTACTAGGGCTGAGCATCCTTGTCAATACTGTCAAGGTGACAGATAAGCATATAAAGGCAGGACCCCTAAAATTATGTTAGGAGGCTGAGTGGCTAATCTGGCAAAATTTTGGGATTTTTAAACCCTAGGCCTGATCCAGTCTAAGGGGGGATGGCCTTATGGAGTGCTAAGGCCTGACTTACTTGTCTTGTAAATATTTATGTCTGTATAGTATGCCTAATCTCAGTCTAAGAATTTATAGTCATAATGGTGTAGTAGTTGATGGTTGGCTGTTGAGTGGGAGCTTGAGTTTGCACAGGCTCTCAGGTTTGAATCCTGAAGATTATTTTTTGAATTTAAATTCAGGTCTCAGCTACACAATCTGCTAGCTAAGACTAGTGCTTTTCAAGTGACATTCAGTAATCACCATATCAGACACCAAAGTTATCAACCTCACCTCTTCTCAACCAAAAGTCCTTCTCAATCTCTATATTCTTGTTCCCCTGGAATTTCTAAGTCTTGTTCCCATCAATTGCTGATTTTCTCAATGTGGGACTGCCTTCACAATCCTTAGCCCTTGTTCTCAAAAAGGCTTTATTTTCATTCAGTCAATCACTCCCTAAATAGCCTATAACACAAAATATAACGGACTATACACTTTCCCCCAACAACTGGCTTGCTAATCTAGGCATCCACCTATTAAAAAAGGCTACCAGAGGCTCCCACTCCTTCAAAAATCCCTTTTTGAAGGGGTTGCAACATCTGTTATAGATAATTGTGTTCTAGAAGAGAGTAGCTGCTATTCAGCATAGCAGAGATCTATGGCAGCAATCAAACCCTTAGTCAATATTGGTGTAATCTCATATATATCTATGCAAGTATATAAGGCTTTATATACTTCTCTGTTTTGAGCCATCCATGATCATGTGGCTGCTGTGCAGTCATATATATTTGCTCACATTCAATCTAACTACTTCCTATATATACTTTCCAAAGATCTAACTACCAATCAAGACTTGCAGCATATTAACCTTGACCAAGACTCTCTCCAAATTTACTCTTGACTAATGCAATGTACTATGGCCATTGTAGTGGCTGTAAAACAACTATAGGGGTTATATTAATATAGTACAGGGGCCAAGCAGAGTAGTGGTAGTACAGGAGAATGTTACAAACTGCTCGTTCGGTAACCCCAAGAGTAGGAGGTTCTTCCCTAGGTCGCTCGTAGAGAGAGAGTGGAATGATGGTCTTGACTGTATGCGTAGCACAGGAGCCAGAGGTATATTGCGATGTAGCAATAAAGAGTAGACAGTATGAGGACTGCCTAAGAACGAAGGGGCTGTAGTAGGAAGACTACAGCGAACGAAGAGAATAGACTAAAGATCCTCAGCCTACTCTATGGGCCTTTTATACTACTTTAGGAAATAGGGCGTGAGAATACCATATACGTATCCGTAGGTATTCTCTAAGTCGTCTCTCTCAATAATGTTACGACTGCTCGTCGGTAACCCCAAGAGTAGGAGGTTCTTCCCTAGGTCACTCGTGGAGGATGTGTGGAACGATGGTCTCGACTGTACGTGTAGCACAGGAGCCAGAAGTGTATTGCGATGTAGCAATGAAGAGAAGATTCCTGTATGTGAAGATACAGGAGAACGAAGAGAATAGACTGAAGATCGTCAGCCTATTCTATGGGCCTTTTATACTACTTTGGGAAGTGGGGCGTGAGAATACCAAATATGTATCTGTAGGTATTCTCTAAGTCGTCTCTCTCAATAACGACTACTCTTGTGCTTCTCCATTGGTCTCCTTCCGGCCAGGAGAGACTAGGAGGTTCATGCCCTGCGTGTGAGTAATTTATAAGGCGGCGTTCCATGCCCGCTAATACAAGGCCCGTGATACTCGACCAATGATTGATGATCCATTGGGAGTGGATGACCAAGGTTAATATCTGTACCTTGGTGTACGCCTCAACTTGTGAGGCCGCGTGATATTTGTAATGATCGTGTCGGTATAGACCGCCGTTAAGGCCCGACAGAACGTGATCATAACAATACCCCCTTTCTACGTCCTATTCGCCTGGTAGGACAGCGCTGTGCGCTTCATCGCCACTCCATATACGATTTGCTTTCTTGATCCAAAGACGGTCTCCGGATGCGACTTCCGGGACATGACTTCGTTTTCTGGGAGGAAGACCGACTTACGTCGTTTGATCCCCTAGGAGTTTTCCATCTCCGTTGAGCTGTTTGTTTGTCGAGTCGCGAGGTTATCCAGGCCTCCGCTCTCTAGGATGTTCTTCCTTCACCCGTGGGATTGATTCTGCCGCGGGTAAACCTCATCGCGGTCTTACTTCCAGCCCGCTTCTGGAATAGTATCAAGAAAGGCGTATGAATGCGAGTGGTGTGTGGATGTGTAGAAACTCTAGCATGTGGGTTCTAGTTCGTGTCATCAGGTTCTTCTTCTTCCTTCTCCGAGGGCCAAACCTCAGTGTTTCCAGGATAGTCGTCTATCCTCATGATTTGTTGTTCCTCTTGACGACAGTGGATGGCGCCCATGGACAAGTAGGTTGATCGCTTTACGAAGGCTTAGGCCTACTTCTCCAGGCTACCAGTCATGACGCCCCAAGCAGTATCGCTCCCATACGGTGAGCTCATCTCCGGTGAGGTTGCAGCCAAATCCCAAGCAGTATTGTCCCCATACGGTGGACTCATCTCCGGTGAGGCAGTTTACGGCGTCCAGAGTTTGTTTTTCACAAACGTGGGCCTATGGTGGGGAATACCACGTGTAGTGTTGGGTTCGAGGCAAGGATGTGAAGAGAATTAG